CACAAAATCCTGTAAAAAAAATTTTCATTATTAACTAAATGTCAGCAAAAAAAAAAAATTCCTATAATCACACTGGACCGTCTATTGTTGGCGAAAATAGTTTTTTCCCAGTGAATTATTTATTACTAAAAAAAATTGACATTAATTACGAAGTGTTTGTATATAGTAAAAAAAGATCGATTAGATCGATTATAGCCCGGAATGTGCCGATCATGTACTAGATTAGGCGCAGCCGCTTCAATTCCAATCTAAACGTCTACAGATCGACATGAATTATTTTATTATATTACTAGCCGTAACCCGTCACACTGCGCCGGGGATGATGGAATTTATAAATGCACCAATTAGGCATAACAATCATCTTGCTACTGAATCTCATCCACAGGCATATTGCACAAGTCGCTTACTTGATTTTACTAGTAAACAATTGAATGAAATTCTTGAAAGTAGAGATTTACAAAGTCAATCTACTAGTGGAAAAGTGAATGGAATGCTAGTGAGTAAAGATTTGGATGATTGTATATTTAATTTAAAGTCATTAGGTATGTAATAATATAGTATATAAAAAGAATTGATTTTGCAAATTATTTACATGAAATTAATTTTATTTATTTAATTATTTAGATATTAAAACAGATAAAAAATAACTAATTATTTGTGTTTATATAAGAATTTATAGGTGTTTTAAAGTGATATTTGATGTCATGATGCATCTAACAGAAATTGTTGTTTAGATTTATTTAAACACTAAGGCTAGTAGAGTAGTAAAATATTTACAAGTTTCTTAGTTTGTAATTTAAATAATTCCTTTATTTTATAGCCTATTCAAGTATTAAATATTTATATTTTCTTTTACTATTTTACTTAGAAATTTGTAAAATATTTACTACTCTAGTCTTAGTATTTAAATAATTCTTAGTTTGTAATTTAAATAAATCTTTTTTTTATAATTTTTCAAAATAATAATATAAGTATATAAAACCATTTCCAATATATAAAATTAAAATAAATAATATAAATTTTATTTCAAGTGCTAATGATATTAAAGTAGTAATTAAAATTTCATTAATGAATAATAACTGATGTTTGATTTAAAATAAAGGCAAACTAAAAAAAAAATGCCATAGAATTTTAATGTCTCTCAAGTTCAAAAGAATATTATATTTTTACAAAATACAAATTACATTACTATATTATAATTTTAATGTTGTTATAATGTTTGATTATATAACCAATTGTTAATAGTGACAAGGAACCTTAATGTGAAAAAATAATTTTAATTTAAAAAAATACAATGTAAAAATTTTTTTTTTAAAAAATGGATAAAAAAAATAAAAATAAAAATAATTAAAAGAAAAGAAATTTATAAAGCGCAGCCGTGAAAATCATTGATATCCACAGTTCCCCGTGAAATAACTATTACTTATTATATTGCTACTAGTAATAAGTAAAGAACAAGACAATGAAATAACAAAAATTACAATAAGTAGATGCGTAAAAGTTGAAATCAGTCCGGCTAGTCATTTGACTAGAATAATTTTGACGTTGTCAGTTATATAATGTTTATTTATTTTAATTTTGTTTGAGATCCATTGGCATTTTCAATTAATTAAATCAAAATATTGTGTATAGTTTCATATACAGTATTTATGATCTGTTTCTTTTCTATTAGTAAAAGTCCTAAGTTTATAAAATTTAATAATAGTATTTACTGTAAAGCTAATGTTTTGGACGCAACTGAAATCTAAACAATGAATAAAAGATCATTTAAATGCTATGTATGCACAGTAAATTTATTAAAATTTTAGCATTATGGTTGATTAGTTTCAAAACAATATAAATTTATCAGTAATTATACATAAATCAAAATTGGATTCTAAAGTATTTTGATCAGCAATGGATACTTTTTAATACCTCGCGAAGAACATTAATATTAAATCGTGCTAAGAAAGAGAATAGTTATACAAGGACTTGTGCTGAATTAGTAGAATGCAGATACAATCATGGCAGCAAAAATTTTTGTTTTATTGTTTAAAAAAATTGTGAAACTTTTTTTTAAACAATGATCGATAAAAGAAAATAAAATAATTTTATTTTTTAATTGAAAATAAAGTCTGAACTTTTGTTTTTCAGCTTCACTTTAAAATATTTTTTTTAAAAAATAAATTTTATTTTTTTTTCGATTTCAGAAAGACTTCAGATTGCACGAGGCCACGAGCAAATTTTTTTTAGAGAAAGTTGTTAGCTTTTCATCTTTGTTTTTTTATAGATTTCGACTTCATTTGTATATTTCAAAGATAAAATTTCGAAACTTTGCTGGTTTATCTTTAAGCGTAAGTTTGGCCGGATCCTTCTGCAGGAAGTAAAAATTTTTCAAAAATTTTTGAATGGATGGTATATTTCAAAGTTAAAACTTCGAAAATGTTGCAACCTATTTAATAGATGTTATAAAAATTTCTTTCTCATACAAAGAGAAATAAATATATCATAATTAGTTACATTAGATTTTTTTTAAAAAAAAAAGAGTTAAAATAAATTTTCTTGTTACATAAAATTCCTAACAGGATTCTTTCTGTAGTAATATATACTTTGACAACGAAAAATGGTTAAATATTTCTAAAATTATTATAAGATAAAAGCAATATCTTAATTGTATATAACTTGAAATTTTTTAGTTTTAAATTAAAAAAGATAAAAGCTAATAAAAATTAAAAAGCTCGTAATGTTGGTAATTTTTAGGTTGTGTATAATCCAATCAGCAACGGTGACTTAACAGTCAAAAAGAAAAGCTTTATTTTCTATCTTAAATCGTGATTTATACATACCAATCACGAATAAAGTATTAAATAACTTTCTCTACTCTTATCAATTCATGCACGATGAGTTACACTTCAGCATATTGATACTTTTTTGTCAGTCTTTAAAATAATTTTTCCTTTTTATTATTACTTGAACGTTGATGTTAAACAATTAATTAACCTAATTTAAGTAATCGGGAATCTGTTTTTGTTCTGTTTGTATGGAGATTGTCATGAATTTGGTACATACATCATTACATCAAGCATTTTATGTAAAAACGCCAAAAAGTAATTTTGATAACTAAAGCTTTTTTTACGTTAATTTATCCATTTTGGATACTGTATAAGTCGATTTCTTATATGTAAAGCATTCAAAACCTACTCCCAACTTCTAAGTAAACTTTCAAAGCACCTAAAAATACATTTTGTAGGTATGATTTCGAAAAAAAGTTTATAAGAAATTAAAATTGATTTGAAGTTTTTTGATAACTGCTGCGCCACGAACCTATTTGATCAACCATCAGGATGCGGAAAAAAAATAAATTTTGTTAACCAAAGTAATATATTAATTGATAAACGCCACCATTTATGAAAATAAAAATATAACTGTAACTTGCAACCATAATTAAAATGATAAAACAAGAAATCGGCTTTTATAACAGTGTCAAAAAAAAAAAAAAAATTGCTGCGCAATATATTTAAGGATCGACCTACCATTCAAAGCTTAATATAGTAATCATTAAATCAAATTTGTTTTAGTTTTGGCATAACGGAATTTTAATTATAAATAATTCCCCCACTTTTTCGTTTCAAAAAAAATAAAATATTTTCTTTTTTTTTTTATTTTCACAAAATAATATTAAAAAAAAATTATGGGTAATACGCCATCATCAACACGATCAGTACCATCAACATCATCAGCATCATCATCTCAAAACAAATGTGGAAAATGTAACAAACCTTATGCAACTAATACTTTTAAATGGTGTAGACCGTGTCAAGTAAATTATCTAAAAAAAGGAAATCTTATAAATTGTATTAGTGGAAATAAAAAAATTGATGATTTAATTAAAAAAGTGATAACAAAAGCTAGTAAACCAGGTGACATATTATTTGAATGGATACCATATGATCAGTTTGTTGATATTAAAGAAATATACAAAAAGGATTCTACCATTATATATTCAGCAATATGGAAAAATGGTCCATTAAATTATGATTATTACAATAAAAAGGAATGGGAGAGAGAATCGAATAAAAAAGTCGCTTTAAAATGTTTTTATAACTCGCAAAAAAATATCCTTGATGAATTTATGAATGTACGAATCTTATTTTTATTTATTTATTTATTTATTTATTTTTTTTTGAAATTTATTATTTTTTATAAAATACTTTTATTAATATAATAATAATTGTTTTTTATTAATAATAGAATAGGGAATACACAGTTGATTATTTTCGTGCTGAAATAGAATCCCTTATTATGTTATATGGAATTTCTCAAAATCCAACTACAAAAGATTATATTATGGTTCTTCAAGATAAATATTGTAAAAAATGTGGTAAAAAATATACAGATATCGTGAACGAATGGTGTAAACTATGCCAAAAAGTTTATTTTGAAAAAGAATTTGTAGGTTGGACCAGTGGAAAGGACGAAATTGATGAATTTATTCGAAAAAAGCGTTCAGAGATTAAAAAAGCAAGTGATAAAATAATTGAATGGATACCATACGATCAGTTTAGTGATATTAAAGAAAGAAAAAAAGATGAAATATATTCAGCAATATGGATGGATGGTCCATTAATATATGATGAAAATAAATATACAAGAAAGCAGTATGAAAAAGTTACTTTAAAATATTCAAAATATTTTTATGAAAGATTTCTAAAAGAGGTATGATTCCGTGTGAATTTCTAATTTATATAAATTTAATTCTTAAATATTTTCTCACATATATTCTTTTATATTTTAAATAGATTGAAGAATATTTAACTGAAACTGGGATAGTATATGGAATATCTCAACATCCGATCGAATTGGACTATATTATGGTCGTTAAAAATGAGTATTGTACAGATTGTGACAATAGCTATACACTTCCACAATATAAATGGTGTGTACCATGTCAGAGAAATTATTTTGAAGAGAGTTTTGCAAGCTGGACCAGTGGAAATGAAAATATCGATAAATTTATTCAAGAAATGCAATCAGAAATTAGACATCCAGATGCTATAGTATTTGAATGGGTACCATACAATCAATTTGATGATATTAAAGAGATTGCTAAAGGTGAAATAGCTAAAATATATTCAGTAACATGGAAGAATGGTCCATTATATTATGAAAATTATGAATGGAAGAGAGCATCAAATAAAAAATTCAACTTAAAATGCTTAAATAACTCACAAAACATCACTTATGAAGTTATTCTAAATGAGGTACAGTATAAAATTCTTTGATTTTATCCAAATATTTTGAATAATATGATATATTCATATATATTTTTATATAATAGGTTAAATATTACAAATCAGTTTTTGGAATATCTCAAGATCCGGATACAAAAGATTATATTGTGATTCATCAAGATGGATATTGTAATGATTTTTGTTACAAATGTGGTAAAGAATATGGTTCTTTTGCCGACGAACTTCCAAAAGGCTTTTTCCCAAGTTTTATAAAAAACAAGTTATGTATACCTTGTAATTTAAAAACATATTCAAATCAAAATAGTGGAAATGATTTAATTGATCCTTTAATAAAGGAAATGCAATCAAAAATTAGTAAACTTAATGATATGGCATTTGAATGGATTCCATACAATGAACTTGTTATTATTAATGAATTATGTAAAGATGATTTTACTAAATTATATTTGGCAAAATGGACAATGGGTCCATTGAGTTGTGAAACGTATGATAAAAGATATAAAGATGAAAAAGTTATTTTGAAATGTTTTATTCATTCACAAACTAATTTTGATGAATTTATACATGAGGTAATATATTTTCTTTTATGCATGAATTTATTTAAATATTTTTAGTATTAATATTTTTTTTTTTATTACCTTGATAGGCTCAAACATCATATTCAATTAATTATAGAAGTGATCTTACAATATATGGAGTATCTCAAAATCCAAGTACAAATGATCTTATTTTGGTTTTTAAAGCGGGTTATCATTGTGAAACGTGTGGTAACAAATATACAGATGAGGATCTTGAACATAAGTGGTGTAAACCATGTCAAATAAGTGAATGTGAAAAAAGTTTTACAAATTGGAGCAAAAATGAAAAAATTGATAATTTAATTCAAGAAATGCGATTAAAAATTGATGAATATAATGATAATATGTTTGAATGGATACCATACAAATTCAATAATATTAAAAAGATAGGCGAAGGTGTATATTCAGCAATATGGAAGGATGGTCCATTAAATTATGATTATTTTACAATGAAATGGGCAAGAAATTCAGAATCAGATACAAAAGTTGCTTTAAAATATTTTTGTAACCCACAAAATATTACTGATGAATGTTTAAATGAGGTAAATACTAAATTATTTTCATTAATTTAATTTAAATTTTATATTATTATAATAGTAATAATTTTTTTTTTTACATTTTTTAATAGGTTAGGGAATGCTCAATTGATAATTTTAGTTATGTATACAATACATTTCAAATATATGGAATATCACAGAATCCAGTTACAAAAGATTATATTATGGTTCTTCGAGATAATTTCTGTAAAAAATGTGGTAAAGCATACACAATTATGAGACATGAATGGTGCAGTCCATGTCAAACGAATTATTTGAAAAAATTTTTTACAAATCATACCAGTGGAAATCAAAAAATCGATGATTTAATTCAAGAAATGCAATCAAAAATTAACGAACCAAGTGATAAAATATTTGAATGGATACCATACGATCAGTTTAATGATATTAAAAAAGTGGGTGAAGGTAGATTTGCGATCGTATATTCAGCAATATGGAAGAATGGTCCATTACGTTATGATATAGAGAAACAGGAATATACAAGAAACAAGAATGTAAAGGTTGCACTAAAATGTTTAAATAACTCACAAATTATTTCTGACAGATTTTTAAATGAAGTAAGAAATTTTAATTTTTATTTATTTAAAAGACTATATATTAATAAATTTTTATAAACTATAGGTTAAAGCATATCCAATTAATGATAGTAAGTGTATTATTTCAATATATGGAATATCTCAAAATTTAGAAACAAAAAATTATGTTATAGTTTTTGAATATGCAGAAGGTGGAACATTAACTGATTGGATGAAGAAGAATTATGAAAATTTTGATTGGAGAAATAGATTAACGAAATTAACAAGAATTATTCTAGGTCTTGAAGAGATCCATCAAAAAGAAATGATTCATCGTGATTTACATGCGGGAAATATATTACTTGAAGACGTCTCATTTTCTGATCATGATGTATATGATCCTGATAATGTATATGTTTCAGATATGGGATTAAGTGGACAAGTTAATGATACAGATGAAATAAATAAAACAAAAATTTACGGAGTTCTGCCATATGTAGCTCCCGAGGTTTTAAATGAAAAACCTTATACTCAAGCATCTGATATATATAGTTTGGGGATGATTATGTATTTTATAGCAACTGGAAGACCACCTTTTGATGGCCGTAAACATGATGAAGATCTAGCAAATAGAATAATGAGTGTTGATGATTTTAGACCTGAAATTAATGAACAAATAGTACCAAAATGTTATATAGACTTAATGAAAAGGTGTTGGGATTCAAATGCAGATAATAGACCAAGTGCTACTGAAGTAAAAGAAATGATTAGTGTTTTTTATCATTCATATACACGTCATCCTGAATATAAATATCTTACAGAAATTGAAATTGAAAAAGAACAGAGTGATGAAATTAAAGCACAATTTGAACTTGCAGAATTGATTAGGGAAGAATATACTTATTATTCTTCTACAAATAACGATAATCAAAATAATCACCCAGATCATGATAACGATGATAATAATAATGATGATGATAATAATGATGATGATAATAATGATGATAATAATAATGATGATAATGATGTTAGTGATCCTTCTGCATTTGTACAAGCGATAGCAGATGAGGTAGTACCTAATAATAATAACGTTAGTGATCCTTTAGCAATTGAACAAGCGATAGCAGATGAGATAGTACCCTATAATATTGGCTAAAAGACTACCCTCTTGGCTTACCCTATATAAGATGCCCTTCTCAATATATCGAATACATAATATGTGGATCCATTTAATTTGTCTAAAAATATTAAAAATCAAAATTTAATATTAAATTTTTCTCATAGTAATAATTAGCTGACAGATAAATCATTTAAATCGGGTAAATTGATCCAGGATATTTTAGTCAGTGCTATACGGTATTGTAAAGTTTAAACAGTATAAATATCTATTAAATATTTTAACATTGAATATTAGTATTTTTTTTATTTTCATTTAAATTTCTTTTATGTATACTTATTTTTTCTATAAAATAAAATTTATTACTTAAAATCAACAATTTAAAAATGCGCAAGAACTTATAAATTTACTCAATTCAGTATAAAGGTATATATTTATTAGAAAAACTGCAAATTTGCTATTTAAGCTTATTTTAAAGTAATAGCATGCCAACTATACAAATACTTGTACGCTTAAATAAACATATAATGTTAATCTTTATATAAATAAATTGTGAAAAAAAAATTAAAAAAATAGACTTTATACAAATTCTTGATTAACAAATACATATATAAAATTTTATATCATAAAAACAGAAGAAAATTTTATTTTATTTTTTTATTGAAAGCTTTAACTATTATAAAATTAAATAAAATATTAATAGTTATTCTTATGACTTTTTGTCTTTCATTCTGCGGCCATTGCAAGATAACTAAAAATACAATATACTTTATTAAATGTTATAATGATAGTAAATCAATAACTTCAGTTCACGCATTTTAATTAAAAGAATTTGTTTGTTAGGTGTGATTCAGAATATATAATATTTGATGATTGATTTTTCTATGTGAAACTTATCTACACATGCCACTTCTCCAAAAAAAAAATCATTCTAGGCTTCAAAAAAAAAATTTTGTATATAAAATTCCCTATTGTATGTGTTATCAATAGATACGAAAATTCTTTCTTTCATAATATTTAACGTTTTTTAAGATTCTAAATTTTCATTTCTGCCTTGAATTTATAGCTATTTAAACCAAGAAAATGTATCACAACTCTATTAGTAAAATTAAATTAATGCACAAAATCTTATTACAAATGTAATGTGTAACTCTCTTAATACACAATTGTAATGATTCATATGTCAATTGAAAGTAAAATATGCGATATTAATAGCGAGTATGATAACCCATTTTTTATTAGTTTCACTGAGTTTTACAACGAATTCTAGTGCTTTTTTTAGTTTTTTAGATTTTTAAACGGCTATATCATAGATTCAGTCATTTACAATTGATAATCTTGAAAATACAATCATAACGATCCCACATTTCATTAGAGTTGAAAGAATTTTTTTTTGCTTGAATTCACAAAAGGTATTCAAATTTTTTATCTCTTCCGCTAGTATGAGTGGGAGAGCCTTATTTTCCGTTGACATAGTGAAGTTTTTATGAAAAAAATCTTTGTGTTACAGTGGATAAGCTTACATTATTCGATGGTAGATTACAGCAAATTTATAGAAACAATCACAATAATGACACATTAAACGTCTATTTCAAGAAACCAAAGTTTTTGTATAACTTGTTTATTAATCAAACTAAGTTAAAGTATAATAAATTAGTCAAATATTTTTGCGAGTGAATATGTGAATAAAACATGGAAAACCAATCACGTGATGTAACAATTTTAAAAATTTCGCAGGAATAAAAAAAATTTTTCTGATTTACACGGCTTAATCCGGTATTGCAGTGACCGTGACAAAAATTAAAGCAATTTCTAATGTTTCTAATATTACATTAATTTTCTTTATTTTTTCAATTTATAAAATTCACATCTGCAGGATGATTGATTTGCTGCTCGTCTGCAATCATGATGTTTTATTTATTAAAGGCGCATCAAATTATTCTAAACATAAAATTAGCAATTAGTAATTTTGACAAAATGACAATAGCAATAGCAATGATTTAGTCATTAAAATTTTAACAGCCAAAAAAAAAAAATCATGATTAATTAAAAAAAAAGGTTTATTCATGGGATTATATTTAATTAAATCTCTGGAATTCATTTCAATATTACTCTCTAAATAAAAGTACCAGCGTAGTGATATACTTATTAAATTATAGTTATAGTTTTTATTTTAAATGTTTAATATAGAAAGACAAAAAAAAGGTTAATTATGTTATTTCAACATTTGTATTTTTTGGTACTGTCCGATGAAAAAAATTTTTTCTAAAACAATAAAATAGATTTATTATATCTGATGAAAATGTGGAAGAACTTATTTAAGAGCGAACGATTTATTGTTTTAATTTAATCTTTATTAATTACTTTTAGGACCCACTTTATCAATATCTGCCTGGAATTCTTCGTTTAGTTACTTTTCAGATCCAACACCTTTTGATTATTATGATAAATTAAATCTAGAGTTACATATTTGTACCTGGATTGCTGTATTGAAAAAACTTGCGTAACACCAATGCGCTTAAGTGAAGAACTTCTAGATAAAGTTTATAATTCATCAAAAATTAAGAAATCATAAAAAACAATATTTACTTCTTATTATTAATTTACTTATTACATAGTTTGCGTGATTTCAAGAAATTATATGTCAAAGAACCAAGAAATTACTTAAGGCTGTATTAAATATTATACCAGGAGTCTTATCAACACTAGCCCGGAGTTGCTTTTCCAAATAATGATTGTTCGATCTTATCAACTCACACAATTACGTGAAGGATTAAATTTTAAATATTCAGTAGCATCTTATTATGTAAATTAGAGAATTATGTTTATAATTCAACATAATTTATTCAACTGGTCCAGACGTCCAGTGGTACTGAAAATATAATTAATAAAAATTTCAGGAATGGTATTAATGGAATATTTTTTGAGCTATTTAGAAAAAAGAATGATGTGATATTGCTGATAATTCTATTTAGATTCTCATTTAAATTTAATGATATATCAGTTATATAAAAAATCCGTGTCGATCATTCATTAATCGTCGTAACTATAGAAAAAAAAATTAACAATATTCGATTATTTAAATGTAAAAGAGTTGTATTACAAATAATTTACTTTAACAAAAAAAAAAAAGAAACAAAATAACTAATATAGTAAAACAAACATTTATTGTTATTTAGAAAATTCCAAAGAATTCACGTTAATCACAACTATGAAATTACTTTTATAGGAATTACGACGGATAATCACTCAAGTGATTATGGTTACACGAATTTCATTTAATATTGGTAAATAAAAAATGACGAAATTATCCCTATAAAAAATATTTCTTCTTGGGAAAAAACTAGAAAAATGATAGTTTTTTCATAATTTTCTTTTATAGGAGTAGTGCCGCAGCAACTTGCCAAAGATTTTCCCAGCGTAACCTGGAAAAAAGTCACGAAAAATCACGTGTCATTTTCATCACCGGCGCCACACCCTTCCTTATTTTCATTTTTTCACAAGTAACGCACTATCCGTCACATTTGCGCCACAATTAATTTCAGTCAAGTTGCGTAATGCCATTTCGTAACATTTTTTTCAGGTTACGCTGGGGTAATCCTTGCCAAACTTAATCTGGACTATGAAACCGGAAAGAAGGGGAAAGGAGGAAAAATAACAATTAGAAATCCGTCTTAAGAAAACCGGAAGGAAGGAATAAAAAAAATAATAAATAAAAAAAAAACGGTTTTAAGAAACAGTAAAAGAAGGAGAAAAGGAAAGTAATGATTAGAAATCTGAATTTAAGAAACTGGAAAGAATGGGGAAATAAAAAAAATCTGGTCTTAAAGAACCGGAACAAATATTAATAAAAAATTAAAAAAAATATGGCTGCAAAAGGAAAATGATAAAATAAATAAAAAAAAAAAGAAACCGGCACTTACCGTATCACGGTACTGCCAACCGCTTTTAGCAGTGATCGACTGATTTACAACTAATGATCATATTCTAACGCATGTCTGAAATGTGTGCCAGGTTGATGGCGCAGTGTGGCGCAGCGATTTTTTCCAAAAAAAATTAAATTGCAATTTTTTTTATTTAAAATAAAACCTTTAAATTCCTGCATTAGGTGTATTTTTGTCCGCTCTGCAAATTTACTTAAAGTATGGCAAGCCGAGTTGGACAAAATTATCAGACATTGCGTGATAAAATATCAAGCATGGCTAGACAAAATGTCACTCCGTGTCTGACATTTTACCTGTTTATGCTTGATTTTCATCTGTCCCGTGCTTGATATTTATCTGTATGTGCTTGATATTTTTATCTGTTCATGCTTGATGTTTATCTATCACGTGCTTGATATTTTTATCTGTTCATGCTTGAT